GTGTTTAAAGTGGCCCGCAAGGCGCGACGAGATTGCTGCACCCGATGTTCCGCAAGGTCAGCATACCGTGCAAAGAGCAAACTGCATTCAAGCGAACGGTCTTAGTAGCGGTCCCCAACGGCAAAGGAGACACCACCAAGGCGGAGGTCAACAGGATTGTTACTCTTGCCCCCTGCACCAGGAAGTACTACCACAAACAGCTTAGAAATCATGTCGCACATGTAATGGCGATGGTGTTGCATGATGCACACCTCAGAGGACGTGCTGACATGGGCACATAGTATGCGAGCCACTGCTTTGTCACCAAACTGTCTGCCCAAATCTCAACAAACATATCGTCCTTTGCGGCTTTCGCGAATTCACGTGCTACTTGTTTTATTCACTTGTCTGGCAAAGAATGCTTGCGCTGCCGTCAAAAAAACATAGTTGCCTCCATCTTATCGGTTCCCGGGCTCTCCACCCTACGCAGCAGTATGCTATTGCAGATCGAGCCCCCTTAGGACTGCGGGATCATCACATCAGCGATGAACTCGTGGGGATGAACCTGGCGGACAGCCAGAGTCATGGCTACTGGAACTTTAAGGGGGCTGACGGGTACACAAGACTGCCTGTAATAAACAGGCCTGGAACGATCATGGCCGCTGTCACGTTAAATATCGGCATTGCTCCAGTGAGTTCAGACATTCAAGATGCGTTGGAGGTTGAAGGCCTGCTTCGGAAGGCTTCTCTCTCACAGCCCCTTTTCAGGCACCCCGCACAGGTATGTGATCAAACGACCAATTCGTTTGTTGGCCGATCTCAACGCTGTCGGAGGACTGGCTGCTGCTGCCACGTTGAAGCTGGCTGCGATCCGTGCCGTGGGAATCACAACTGGAGTGGCCCTGAAAACTGGCATCGTGATGATCCACGAGACAGGGGCTTGTATGCTTGTCCCAGTCGGAGCGGGTAGCCGAAGTGCTCGTATTTTGCTTTCGTACAGGACGCAGCCGCACATCAGCGTGCCCAGCCTTGGGGCCGAGGTTGCTATCAAGCGGGTGTTTCGTTCGCTAGGTACCATTGACTCTGATATCGGCGAGATGGCCCACGAAGTAGCTCAACGGACTGCTGAAGCTTTATGTGAGCCCCTTCCCTCCAGAGGACGCTGGGACCCAGAAATGCTCTCGCCACGTCGTTGGATATTAGATATGCCGAAGATTACGCTATGACCAGCATGAACTTAAATGTCGCCATCTGTAATGCCCTGAGCAGTCGCCTCCTTCAGAATTTGAACACCACTACGGCCAAGACTGATGAAACTTCCATGGGATTGGCTCTGGCCAGTAAGGATGGAGCGCACCAAGCCCTTGCCGACGTGCTGGTGCTGGCTCAGAGGATCCTTAGTCGATCAGGTAATGAGAATTGCGAGGTTGTGAGATTTGACGAGATGATTGTGGGGAAGGGAAGGCCCCCTCACCTCCTCCAAAATTGGGATCTCTCTGGAGTCAACAGAAGAGGTGGCCCTTGCCCATCCAAGAAAACCCTGGAAAGAGGTACCAGGAAACGGAAGAACTCCAGACTGGCCCTAATGCGCTCGGGAACGCAAGGGACGCATCCTGGGCTTGCTTAAGCGAGTAGTCACACGCTCCCATGGACTTGCGCCAGGGATCAGCGAACGCAGCACAATGTGTTGTTGCAATTTGAACTTCCCCCGTCCAGCGACGCAGTGGCACAGCCGACGAAGGCCAGTCAACCGACAGATTGCTATGTTTGCGATGGCAAACCTAAAGTATGATTGTGGCTTCTTCACGGCCAGCGGGGAAACCCTCTGAACTCGTCAGGGGAGGTACCACAAGAGTGCCCATCAAGCAGAACAACGTTGCTGTCGGATCTTTGTGCCGGTTGCAAGGATTTCCACCACAACAACGGTCTGGTTGCACACCCGCACCTGGTCGTAGCTTGTCGCAGACGATGGTGGGGTCAGGCCGTCCAATCCCAGCTTCAGAACTCCACGCCAGCCGCAATGAAGCCAAGGAGACTCAGAAGCATAATCGAGCACTGGGAAAGTATGACAATGCAATCGCTTACCTCCTGGTCGCATGCACGGCCCCCCTTTTTGGTTTGGCCCGCCACCGCAGCTGCCTTCCCCTCCATTAATCCTCACGGTTTAACTCATCTTGCTCGAAGTTTCGAAAGTGCATGGAAATCGACGGGATGCGAGACCGCAGGTGGCAGTCGACAGCCAGGTTGCCCCCCTCGCGCAATTCCTAGGGCCACCCGTCTTGCTGTGGATTAAACCGCTTGGGAGAATGCAGGAAGATGTTGGGGACAGGCTCGGTGCGGGCACCTTCGTTGCATGCATGGCTCACACTTCGGAGTTTATCGACCCCATTGTTCTTGCGAGCTGGGTGAAGTGGATCCAGGACGGCGACGTGATTGGCGTCCCTGCGGTGCCGTCCGTGGCCACGCGGGGTGTTCTACTCTGGAGGAGGCCAGGCCGCCCATCCTCAGCAGCCAGGGATTTGAGGTCCACGGGACGGGAGTGGTGTGGAGGGCTGGCCACGCCGTGGACAAGGACCTGCTAGACCAGGAGAACAAGCAGATGATAATCAGCGCGTTGCTATTGGCAACAACGGCCCGAACAAATACTCCAAACTCTCTCGGGGTCCCCCCCGCGATGCAGCCGGGCCGGAGGCCATTCGACCGCTACAAGACATATTGCAGCTGTGCCAGGCAGAGACCTCCAGCCGCGTGTTGTTTCACTCCCGGATAGCTCCGTGGAGAGCTAAGGGGGGTTCATGTAAGAAGCGGGCAGGCAGGGCTTCGCCTGCTCCTCTCCAAGGCTCCCGGTCAGGCATCCTCGCAGCGCCCTGCTTGAAGTCGCAACGGGTCCCGATTGCGTTTTTGCACTCGTTCCTAAAACGTGTGCAAGTTCCTTGAAGTTGCAGCGGGTCCCGAGAAGCGTTCTCCTACTCGTTACCAATGCGCGTACCTGAAGCCTTGCCGCAGGTCCTTCGCAATTCCCTCGAAGCACCTTCGAAGCTCCTTTTCCTAAGTCTGCAATCTTCTCACCCCAGGCATGCCTGCCAGCGCCCCGGCAAGAGTCTCGCAGCGGCGTTCTCTCTACTTGTTCCTGGATAGCTCTCTGAGAGCTTCGAAGGCTTCAGATTAAGAAGCCGGAGCCGCATGGTAGCCCCGGGCCTCGTTCCGGCTTCCGGCAGGAAGCCTCGGCGCGCCCTGCTTGAGCCTGCCGCAGCGTGTCCCGAGAAGCCTTTTCTAAGCGTTTCCCGATACGCGTGCCCGGACGCTCCCTTGAAGGTCCTTCGGAAGCACTCTCCAGGTCCTTCCAGGCTTGTCGACACACCTTTCCACGCCCTTCTGGCGCCTTGCTATCCGGGTTTTCCCTGGGGAGCTCTCTGAGAACAAAGCGGGTTCCAGAGAAGAAGCCGGCAAACAGGGCTGCGCCAGCTCCTCTCCAACGCTCTCGGTCAGGCATCCCCGCAGCGACTCGCTTGACCCCGCAACGTGTTCCGAGAAACGTTTTCCAACTCGTTCCCAATACGCGTGCCTGAAGCCTTCCGCAGCTCCTTCGCGGCTCTGCTCCCAAGCTTAGAAGCCCCCCTGGCAGGCATTCCAGCATCCTGTTGGGCGGTGTCCACCGATCCTTGCGAGCTCCCCAGGCAGGCTTTCCAGTGCCCTGGCAAGCGTCTCCAACGCAGGTGTCCAAGGCTTTCCAAAATTCCGGGGTAGCTCCTGGGAGAACTCAAAGGGTTGTTAGATAAGAAGCCGGCAGGCAGGGCTACGCCAGCTCCTCTCCAAGACTCCCTGTCAGGCATCCCCGCAGCAAGTTGCTTGAGGTTGCAGCGGGTCCCGAGAAGCGTTCTCCCACTCGTTACCAATGCGCGTGCCTGAAGCTTTGCCGCGGGTCCTTCGCAGCTCCCTCGAAGCTCCTTCGAAACTCGCTTTTCGAAGCTTGCAAGCTCCCCAGGCAGGCTTTCCAGCGTCCTGGCAAACGTCTCCCGCAGGCATTTCCCAAGATTGCCAGCTCCCCAGGAATGCTTTCTAGCGTCCTTGCAAGCGTCTCCCAGAACCGTTTTACGCGCTTGGGACTGCGTCGCACCGGTAAACTGATCCGACCTGAGCGCCTTGCTATCCCGGTTTTCGACCCCCAAAGTACCGATTTGGGATGCGCGGCTGCTCCAGAGGGGGCTCATGACAACGTCATTCTCGATTGCTGTCTCTTTTCGCCTTGCGTACATGATCCTCGGTAGAGGGGGACTCATCTCTCCTGGCACACACTCGTGGAACCGATTTCTCGGGACAAACAACGACAACATAAACCAATCTTCAAGGGCCCCCCCCCCTGCAAACAACAGCGACATCTTGGAGGGCCCACGGAGGCTCTGGCATAGCCCACGGAGGCTCTGGCATAGCCCACGGAGGGCTGCCGACCCTGGGTGTGTCTTGGGAATCCCCTGGACCCGTTCCTGGACTTGGACGTGGGCTCCCCACATGTTGGCGGCCAGCCGGGATGAGTGCCCCCCAAACCTCGCGGCTCCCGCTGTCCCCCTGCCCATCTGCCGGGTTAGGCTACGGATTTCCAGACAGCCTTCACCGACCGACCGACCGACCGACCGTCCGACCGACCGACCGACCGTCCGACCGACCGACCGAGGAGGAGGAGGAGGAGGAGGAGGAGGAGGAGGAGGAGGAGGAGGAGGGGGAACGATGGGGAGGAGGGGGCAGGTGAATGGAGGGGTTCCAAATGAAGTCGAGGCAAAGAGGGAGGACGAGGAGGAAGAAGAGGAGGAAAAAGATAAAGAGAAAGAAAAGGAGGGTGGGGAGGAGGAGGATAAGGGAGATGGAGGAACAGCAGCAGGACCATAATCGAGGATTTTACTTTCTGGCAATTTTTGCTGGGCTTTTGGGGACTCTGGCTGCGGGGACCTCTGGAGACGCTTGGAGAGCATCTACCTTTGCGGGTAGGGGAAAGCGAGGCGAGGGAGGCGAGGGAGGGGTGCCGATGGCTGTTGGACTCGAGACCCTGCGAAGAAAAATGTCTGGGCTTCGCGGTATTGGGGCAGGCAGCAGTCATCGGAGGCGTTAGTCCAGCAACTGCGTGGCAGGGCCAGCGACTGCGTGCTGAGCAAGGACATTCCTGCTGAGCAGATGCATGGCCAAACATTCGAGGTCGGAGTCTATACACATCTGCCGCCCAGAGATCCAATGTTCCAGGACCCCAGGGGGTAGTGGATATGGTTACCTGTGAGCCCCAAGGGCCCCGAATATCTGTCTGTCTGTCTGTCTGTCTGTCTGTCTGTCTGTCTGTCTGTCTGTCTGTCTGTATGATTGTATGTATGTATGTATGTCTGTGTGTATGTCTGTCTGTCTGTCTGTCTGTCTGTATGTATGTATGTATGTATGCATGTATGCATACATGCATGCATGCATGTATGTATGCCTGCATGCATGTATGTCTGTATGCATGTATGTATGTATGCATGCATGTCTGTATGTATAGATGTAGGGATGCATGTATGTATGTATGTATGTATGTACGTATGTATGTATGTATGTATGTATGTATGTATGTATGTATGTATATATGTACATATGTACATATGTATGTACGTATGTATGTATGTATGTATGTATATATGTATATGTACATATGCATGCATACATGCATGCACGCATGTCTGTTTGTCTGTACGTATGTATGTATGTATGTATGTAGGTATGCGTGTATGTATGTATATGCATGTGTGTATGTGTATGTGTATGTGTATGTATGTGTCTGCACACATATATGCAAATATATGTTTGCATGCGTGTATGTCTTATGTGTATATATAAATATCTATGTATATACGTGTGTATATATGCACACATATCCACATACCCATCGTCCCTGGAGGTCTAGGGATATTGGTTCCCAGGCGTTGGGTCTGAATAAATCCCAGTCTCGGAAGCCAGCGCTGCACTTCTAATAATGCCTGGTAACACCTGTGTGACGAGGTTTGCCAAGGAAAACTGACGAGCGCCGCGTCGGACGCCCGAGGAGGGCTGGATCGGATGCGGCACTCAATGCAAGCGAGGTGAACCAGGGGAGCCATAGGCAACTCAGGCTCTAAATCTTGGAAAGTCCAAGTTTGCGATGTGGAAAATGCGTTCGCACTAGGATATTGGCCCCCCACTTCGGCATGGTTGCCCGGGGCCAACCGTCCACCTTGTCCGTGGTAAAGCATCCACCAACGAAACACACGCATCATCTGAAAACTAACAGGACAATCAGCCGCCACCCCTCTTCAGAGGCCACTGGGCTACGAAGACTCAGCACATGAGCATCTAGTTATTCGACAGTGCATGGTGGCAGATAACATCATTACAATAATTTTGGCAACTCATCAACTTGGCAATCGTGGCATCAGCATGGCCCATTCGGACCTTCTAAACTCAGAGCATGCCGATCTCTTATTTACTCCGACTCTGAATTCCTAAGAAGGCGCGACCCCAACATGCCCAAACAATGACCCCCCCTCCGGACTGCTTCCCCAGAACCTCTGGGTTGCGTAAACCCATGAAACACATACGTCATGGGTCCGCATTTTTAGGGCCAAAGTCAATCGTAAAATCCCACCAGCCATTCTGGGCGTGAGTGGTTTTGAGCGTTTCCTCTTCCATCTTCCCTCTTCCCCTTCGGGGAGGGGCTTACCCCTCCCCCAGCCCCTGCCCCCAGACCTGGGCGGGGCGTTGGGCGAGCAGTGAGAGCATCCAAGATGGCCTCGGCGAGAGGATCAGTGATTTGACTAAGAGATTCTCCGGCTCAAGCCACACCCTATGCTACGAGAGGGGTGGGGAAAGGGTCATTTTCCCGATGGCGCTCTGTGTTGCGGTCCGCCGCCCGCCCACTGAGGGGCGGAAGACAATTTTTGGGGGGAGACGTGCAACCGGCTCAGGGCCTAAACGGTTGCAGCCAGGGAGCGGGAGAGAAAAGGGAGGGAAGCAGCGTGCACAAAGGAGAATCCAGACACTAAAGGCGGGGCCCGAACAAAAACAGACTTTCCGGCTGAAACCACACCTCATGCCAGGAGGCGGTGGGGAGAGGATCATTTTCCCTATGGCGCCATGTGAATTCAGACGCTTTGCGGTCTGCCGCTCGCAACACTGAACGCCAAGGGGTCCGGCCCCACCTTCCCACTGCGGCCTGTGGCATTGCGAACTCGACTGCCGCGCCCTCCAGACGCGGCATGACAGCAAGGAGATGTGGATTCCCAACGCTGGAGAGTCGCACCTCTGTGAAGGGGCCCCAGGACACACAACTAAATGCACACAAATAGAAATATTCCCCCTATTTTCCCATATTTTCTGGGCTTCCCCCCCACTTCCCATATTTTCCAATATTTTCTTGGGGATCGACGATGAATTGTGTCTGTGTGTGTTTTTTCCCTCCTGACTCTGGCCAACACGGATCTGGCGTTCCGCCAGGCCCTGCGCCTTCCCAGAGTCTCCGCCCACGGGCGCAGGCCCCGCGCAAAGCCCTGGAGCGTGGCCGCGGGCAGCGGCGTGCCCGCGCCCGTGCGCGCGTGCGGCGAGTGTGAACGAAGCTGGCGCGGGGAGCTCCTCCCCCAACAGAGATCGGCTGCGCGCAGGAGTGACCCTGGTCGGGGAGACGTAAGACCCGGGTACGGGGGACTCGGAAATCCCCGACGAGGTCGTCAAAAAAATGACGAGGCCGAGCCTGCATTTTGACGAGGCCTCCCGCTGCAGACATCCCACGAAACTCCTACTCGTCAAAATCCGAGTCGCGGTCGTAAAAAAAAATGGCGAACCCGAGTCCTGGCAAACCCGGGTCTTACGCTCCCCCGACCTGGGTAAGAGTGACCCTTTGGTGCGCGGCTTTCTGGAGCGCGCGCGGGGAGACCAAGCCCGGGTGCGCAAGCCGCTGCTGCCGCTTCGTTTTCAGCCATCGGAGGGCCCATCTGTGTCCGCACCGAAGGTCACTTCGGCGAAAGGTCACTCTTACGTCTAGTCGAAAAGACGCGGCGTCGCCGCGAGGCCCCCGGCGGCCCCTGCGGCTTCCCGTCGGCGTGGCGCGCCGCCTCCGACCCCCCTCTTGAGGGCTCCTCGGTCTCGAGGGGCCCCGCTCGCGGCGGTGGACAGACCTCCCTTTGGTAAACCTCCCCTTAGGGAACACGTCCTGGGACCAACACCGACGGACCTGGACCCGCAAAAATGACGGCCTTCGACGCCCTCTCGCGAACAGAGAGCGGGCCAATTCCTGAATCGACGTGTCAGGGTAGGAGGTCTATCCGCCTCCGACGCTCCTAGTGAGCCGGGGTGCCCATGGGGCAGGCGTGGGCGGTCCGGGCACCGTTCACCTCAAGGTGGTGTCCTTGCCCTGCGGGGGCGGGGCCGTGCCTCTGGCGGTTTCGGTCGAGAAGCGAAAACTCCCCGCCGCGCTATTCCTCCTGCCCGCCGCTGGGGCTTCCGCCGGCTTCACCCCCCGCTGCGATTCCTCCTTCCCGCCGCTGGGCTTCCGCCGGCTCGCGCTTTCCAGCGTAAGATGGCAGTGCTGGTCTGACACCGATGCCGCCCACCCCTTCTGGGGCTCGTGCGCTTCCCAGGGGTGGACATGGAAAGCGTGGAACCTCCAGCGTCCGAAGCGCGTCGGCCGAGCACTGCGTGGCACGTGGCGGTGGCCCCTCCAACCCTCCGGGAACGGCTTCCGACGCGCGACGGGTGGATTCGCGCAGCCGCCGCCGCCTGGTCCAGGTGGGCCGTGACCTCCTGGCGTCTCATCGGATCGGGTTGCCCTCCTGATCCCGGAACAGGGGTGTCTCCTTCCGAGGGTCACCGCTCCGGCGCCAGACGCCCCAGCTCCGCGAACGCCTTCGCGGGGCCATTATTCCGACGGCACCCGGAGTTGTACTGGTCGGTCTCACTACCTCATCCCCTCCTCGGAACGTGGCGCAGACGGCCCCCCCTTCCGCATGCCCCTTTCCGAAGAACACCCGCCCCGCCGCCCAGGGTTTGGAGGCTCCCGCTAGGTGCTCCGACGTGCACACCATGGAAAAGAAGGCCACCGGGATGGCGGCCCACTTAGCGGCATCCTGCATTTTCCCTGTGGCCAGCTTTCGCGGCCAGGCCTTCATCTCCACCATGGCCGGGTACTTGCGGTTCTGCTTTGCCCCGAGCCAGCGGGGGCCTCCCAGCGCCAGCCAGAGGCGGGGGGCTAGCTCCAACGAGTCGGGGTAGCCCGCTGCCGCGTGGTAGCGTCAGACCGCCATGAGCTTGCCCCTGATCGTTCCTTCCGAGCGCTTCTGGAAGTGGGCTAGGGGAACCACCCAGTCCAGCGGGAGGTCTTCGTCCTCCTTCCTCCCCTCCCGACCCAGGCCCGTCAGGAAAGGACTCTGCTTCCTGGCTTTCGTGCTTCCGCCCGATCGCGCAGGCGGAACGGGCGCCCGTGACCAGACTCCATATCGAACCGCCCCTAGCCGCGTCGCGCTGCTCCCAGCGCCGCCTCGCCCGATCTGGGGCCGCGTCGCGTGCTCCGTCCTCGCGGGGTGGGCGCCAGGCCGCCGGGGGGGCCTCCCACACCTGCCGCGGGGGCTCGGGAGGCGCTCGGGCCCGCGCGCGGACTTCCTCCCCCTCCTTCTCCTCCTCCTCCTCCTCCTCCTCCTCCTCCTCCTTCTCCTCCTCCTCCTCCTCCTAGCTCCTCCTCCTCCTAGCTCCTCCTCCTAGCTCCTCCTCCTAGCTCCTCCTAGCTCCTCCTCGCTCCTCGAAAACCATGCGTTGCAGTTAGGGGCTTCTCGGCCCGCTCGGGGTGGCCCCGTCGGTGCCGGGCTCGGGCGTCCGCCCTCCGGGGTGGTGGGCGCGCGCCCCGGGCCCGAGGGGCTGCGAGGCCGCTTCCTCCGCCGCTGCCGGGGGGGGGCGGGCCCGGGGGGGCCCTCGCGCCGCCCTCCTCCCCAAGAAGACCTCCCCCACTGCGCGGGGCGGGGTGGCCCTCCCCAGCTGCTGGGGCGTTCGGCGGCCCCTTCCCCGCCACTCAGTGCGGGCTTTGGCGGGCGGTCATCGGGCTCGTCCCTCGGCCCGTCCCTCGGCCGCTCCCGCGCGTGCGTCTCCCGGGGGGCACCGCCCTCTTGCAGTGGAGCGCGCGAGCTGTCCAGCTCGAGCGCGCCCCGCAGCCTGGCCCAGCCAGGTGCCTCTCTCCGCGTTGGGGCCCGCGGCGCTGGGTCGGCAGTTCCGGAAGGGCCGGCGAGGCGGCCGCAAGGTCGCGCCCCATCCCCTGCAATTCCTCCCGCAACTCCCCCTGACGTCGCCCGTCAGGCTATTCCCGAGCGTTCATTGGCTCGTGCGTCGAGCGCGAGGGGGCCCGGAAACTCCTCGCGCTCCTTTCCGAGAGCCAGCAGTGCCCTTGTCCGCGCAGCGTGGTGCTCTAGCCCATGAACTAATGAGAAGGCCCAGCTTCGCCGCCTGGGCCCAGCCAGCTAGGGCCCCCCCCCAGCGGCGGGGGGGGGCCCTGGAGGCGGCGCCGCGTCGGGGGGCCCCTCCTCTCCCAGCGGGGGGCCCTGGAAGTAGCTACTCATAAACTCTCAAGCGACGAATTCGGGGGGGGATCGAGGAGGCAGGAAGCAGAAGAAGGACCAGGACATCTAGATCAGGGAAGTTGTCGGCCCCACGGGGGCGCAGGTCGGAAGATCTGTCCAGCCCTGGAACAGAAGCGCCTTCCCCTTGGGCGCTCGTGGTCGTCGGGGCCCGTCGAGGCCATGGAGGTGGTCTGGGGCGCTGCGCGCGAGTTCCAGGTGGTCGAAGTGGCGGGCCAGAGAAGTCTCGGGGCCCTTGGGGACCTCAGGGACCCCCGATGCCGTCCAGATTCTATCGAATGGCCTTCGGCCCGTCCCGCTATCGTGCCGAGGTTGTGGGTGTGAGGCCTCTTGGATATTCGTTGGGATCTCTTGGGAGGCTTTTGGGGGGCCTCTTGGAAGCGTTTTGGGGGTGTTTTGGGCCCTCTTGGGGCGTCTTTTGGGCCTCTTGGGGACGTCTTGGGGCGTTTGGGGGGCCTCTTGCGGGGCTTCTTGGGGCCTCTTGGAAACCTCTTGGGGCCTCCTGGGGCCGCTTGGGGTGGAAGGCTCAAATTCTTCACGCTTCGCGTATCCCCACCAGCCCATCTCAAAACAGCAACTCTTGCGAAGCATGCCGACAGTCGTGTTTTTCAGGCGTGTTTCTGCCTGCCCCCGCATATCTCCGGGCCTCTCGCCCTGGTGTGAGTCGTTCGGGCCCTTCTTCCTGGTGTGAGTCGTT